AATAAACTTCTGACTTGCCTTTATTTAAAATTAAATTCGGTTACAATATAAAAAAAGGTATTTACACAAAATAATCGATTCACATACCCTTTAATCTTACCCCGATTTTTTTAAAGATATTTCCAAGCCCACCATTTTTTTTCATTCGATCATTCAAATCCTGTTCATTAAATCGTAATGCTGTTTCGCTTCCGAAAGTCCATGACGATCCTATAATAAAAGCTTATTGTATTTCGCGAATATATTTGTGCATCAAAATAACATAACCGAATAAAACCTACTGTAGAAATTGCCATTGTCACTTTCTTCTGTTTAGAAATTGCATGTTTCTTTTCTTCTTCCAGGTTAATATTTTCTCTCTCATAATTTGCCAATTCTTCTAGAATTTTAGTTTCTTTTTTCAAGTTTCTTATTAAAATAAATACAATTATTAAATTAATAAGATTTATTTATTTGTAATTATTTTACCTATAAGTTATTAACAGAATCTCTGTATTTATCTTCAAGATCCTTGTTATCTTGTTTTATCTGAACATGCTTTTCTTCTTCTCTTAGTTGATCTTTTAATTTATTCTAAGCATTAATAAATAAATTAATTGTTATATTAAATTAGCTTGTCTGAATAAATTATTAAATCTAATGACTTATCACAGCCTTATTTAATATTTCAGTATTAAACTTACACTCTAGCTAATTTTTTGATAAAGGGCGACTGCTTCAAAGCTAACGTGTTTTCATCTCGGAGAAAATCTTCTGCTTTTTTTTTCTTAGCCTTTCAATTCAATAAGGTTCGAATCATTATTGTTATTTAATATGATTGATTACAAACGCCATTTACTACCTCTAAACTTTGTTAACTATTTTAACGCGATTTAATTTTTCTGATCGTTTTCATCCAATGGTTCAACCCTTTTCATTTGCTTCTTCAGGAGAACTTATATTAAAAGTTCCGATAATGTCTTCAATATATTCTTGTGTCCATAATCATGCTCATTTGGTGCTTTGGGTTTCATCTGCGATATTAATTCAACTTCTCCCTAAACATTAATTTAAGCATAAATTTGACGATGTCAATTCATTAATCATTACCTCGTGATGAAAACATAAAATAAAAAAATAAATAAACAAAGAACCTGCAAAATTAGAAATCGTTTATGATCCAAATCGATCCCCCTTTCTTTAAAAGACTTATAACTTCAGTAATTGCTTTGTCGCCCGTTTATGAAATGCTTGCATTATTGCGAAAAGCTTGACGCGAGATAACCAATTGGGATTGTGATAGAATCTCATAATTATCCGAACTAGGCTATAAAATTATTAAACATCATTTATTATTAATTTTAAGTGATTTTTTTTCTTTTTCTTTTTCTTTTCTTTTTTTTTTTTGGAAATTAAAACTTTATTAGTACCAAGTCAAGAATTTTTCTTCAAAACTGCAAGCAACCATCAACGTGATGAATGAATAAGTTCTGATAATTTGGCTTGGCTCATTTTATTTGCTCGATAACCAAATACAAAATAAAAGTGCATCGATAACATTTGATTTTCGCGTAAGTTCACTTGTACGCGATTTCTGAATTCTGAATTAGGAGATTGAATTGTCATTGGCTTAGAAATTTGTTTAACGATACAAATGTTTCACAATTTTTTTTTTTATGAAAACGAGGCCGTTTTGGACAATTCTTGAATTGTTGGAAATTCTATCAAAAAGTAATTAAGCAATAATAGTTTTTAAACATTAATAATATATATTTTTCATTTTTATAATATTATAATAGATATTTGCAACTTACTCTTATAAATACCCAAGATATTAATACATTCGATGATACTATTACTAAAGATATTATGTTTAACAATAAATCAACAAAAAATAATAAACCTGAAATTTATAGTAATAGGACACAAAATGTCAATTGAGCAAGTACAAGATCAAGAACTTTTTATGGCACAAAGTACTGCTCGAATTCGCATCGAACAACGACAAATGGCTATGGACAGTAAGTTAAAAATAATTTTTTTTTTCAATTTTATTTATATATTATCGAAATTAATACACATTTTATCTCCAAATATTCAGCATCATCTATTCACAAATTAATGTCTTGATTCTTCAATTCATATTGTTGTGACAGCCTTGACTATAAATAAAAGTTCCAATAAAATATATCATAAAGAAGGAGCAAAATGATCTTGTTTTGATTGTTAAACTACTGTTCGGCTACCATTATTATAAGCATCCATATTAATAATATAATAATTTCAAGCAAATATTTTTTTTAATCTTCATTTTTCTTCTCTTATTAAGTTGTGAACGAGTAGAACAAAATGGTTTTTGATCATAGCCCACCATATCAATGTGTAAGTTACTGAGCTTTATTTTGCCCTTCTCGTTTTCCTTACGCATCCGCAAAATCGAAACTCAACCTCTTGTTGTAGGTCAAACTAATAAGCTACAATCAAAGTCACAACACTAGGCCTGATCGACCGGATTTTTGATCGGGTTTCGAGTTGATATAGATTGGCTGATGAAATTGTGTAACCCGTTCAGTAATCCGATTTTTGCGTTCTACAAAATAGTGGAATTCTTTTGATCGCATTTTTATCTCTTATAGCCACTCACTAATAAATTTTAAACACGTAAAATACGCGTTTTTAAAATATGAATCAACTACAAGTTATTGAAAAGACTTCAACTAAATGTGTTAATTCCTCTTATAAACCCGTTTCTAAAAAGAAAACTAGTAATACTACGCGTTTATCTACGCGTTTAATTTTACCCAAACCAGTTCAGCATGCTGTTCCTTTGCAACACAAGCAACAGCAAATTGTTTCTCCACTTCAACGGCAACAGCAAGTTGTTGCTCCACTTCAACAGCAACAGCAAGTTGTTGCTCCACTTCAGCAGCAACAGCAAATCGTTTCTCCACTTCCTCCACTTCAGCAGCAACAGCAAATCGTTTCTCCACTTCCTCCACTTCAGCAGCAACAGCAAAT